ATACACCCAGGCGGAGAAGTGTGCATCTATTGAGTGCCCGGGGCTTTGAACCATTTCTTGTTTGCTCTGGTGATAGACAGGTCAGGCAGTGATTGCTGTGCACTATGATGTTTGCAAATGACATTGTGACATGTGGTGAGAACATATAAAAGTTGGAAAACTTAAAGAGGTAGAGTTATGCACTTGAAAGAAGAAGAATGAATGCCAAACATGACAAGATAAACTATGTGTACAAATGAGTGAGGCAGGTTGAACAGTGAGACCACAAGGAGCAAAGGTCACAAAAGGGCAAGACTACATGCACTTTGGAGCAACTGCCCAGGAAAATGGGGAGTGTGGTAAAGAGGTGAATAAGAGAGGCCAGCCGGGATGGAGTGAATGGAGAAAGGTTTCAGGAGTGATTTGTGACAAAAGAGTGGCAGCAAAGGTCAAAGGAAAAGTTTAGTTAGATCAGGTAAGTTGTGTGGTTTGAAGACAGTTACATTCATTCTACCTTTATTTAGACAGGTTAATCCCATTGAGCCTCGAGGACTCATTTACAAGAGAGACTTGATTTCAACAAAGAATGATGACAACAATGGACAACAGCAACAACAATAGACAGTTATAAAATGGCATACAGATTTGTTTTTATACAAATGCATTTTTTATACAAATACAAATACATTTTATACATTGACAAGAAGACAGGAGAAAGAACTTGAAGTGGTGGTGTTGAAGATGTTGAGGTTCTCCTAGGCACTAACAAGGATGAATAAGATTAGGAATTAGATCATCAGAGGTACAGCACATGTTGAAGGACTGGGGCATAAAGTTAGAGACCAGACTGAGATGGTTTAGACATGTCCAGAGGAGGGACAGTGGGTATATTGGTAGAAGAATGTTCGAAATACAGCTGCCAAGATAAAAACAAAGAGTAAGGCCAAAAAGGAGATAATGGATGCAGTTAGAGAGGACATGGAGGTAGATGGAATGAGGACAGACAGAGTGAGGTGGAGGAGGACGAGTTTGTGGCGACCACTGAAAAAGGAACAGCCGAAAGAAAGAGAAGAAGCCCATGGAGGGAAGCAAGACAAACAACCATTCACACTCTCACCTGGGGACAATTAGAGTTAATGAATCTAGCATAGAATTTTTTTGTCTGTGGGAGGAAACAGTTGTACCAGAGATAATGCACACATTTATGGGAAGAACATCTAAAATCATCCAAAAAGGTCCCAGGCAAGGAGGCGATCTTATAACCTTCTTGCTGTGCAACGACAGCTCTAATCACAGCTCTACAATGCCACTCAGAATATACCTAATAAGATACAAATAAATACATACCATTCATAAAGGAAAATAACATTTCTTTTAAAGTATGTATTTTTTTCCCTTTTGTGAATACAAAAAGAGTTTCAATGAGGTTGGGCAACTGTAAATCTTGGCTTATCAAATGTTTGTCATTTTTCTCCTTCAAGACATTATTTTATTTATGTATTTATTTAAGTGGGGTTTTAGAAAGAAATTGTAAAAATTCTGTCTGCAGTAGGTCAGCAGTCAGATTGTTCTAAATGTAAAGAATAAAGAAGGAAATTCCAGGTAAAACTTAGCAGATAACTAAAATTCCTACCAGATTGAGTGACTGGTAAATTAAATAATTTTAAACTATGTTACTTTTCATGAAACTGTTGTTTATTTGGTCACTTTTATCTGAATAATTAACAATGTTTGTTGCTATACATTAGTAGAACTATTGTATCATGCACTGATCAATGGATTCTGACACAAGTTGTTTTGTTTCCCCTAACCAACAGATATAGGAAATGTTGAAAACTGTGAACGTAGGTTAATTGGCTTAGTGTTTAAATAAAATGTGGGAATCAGTTTGTAATTTAAGTTTAAATATATTTTTGCATGTTCATTCTTTTAGTATTTGTTTGTTTGACTGACATTAACTAGATTTTTTTGTTTCTCATTTTTCAAAATTGAGGATTCTCTGTCTGCTTTCTGCAGTGGCCAACAGGCAACGAGCCACAAACAGTTAAATGCGCTGCAAAACATGAATGTTGCAAACTCAAAAAAAAAAAAAAAAAACTAATGCAACAGAAAAATGCTGCAAATACCCAAAACATTGCCCCCACCACCAACACCACCACACACACACACACACACACACACACACACACACTGTTCCACCTCAATGGTTCCTTATCATCTTTACTCTGTCCAGATGGCACACCAACTACCTTCCTACCTGTCTCTCTAATGATTGTTGCCTTAGTAGCCCAGTCATCTGGAAGCTCTTTCTTACCACCCACAACCCTTAACAGCTCCTCTCTGAATTCCTCACAACATTCTATTGTCTGGCCACATTTTTCCCTGCCACAATCTTACAGTCCCCAATCTCCACCAGGTTTCCTCTTCTACACGAATGTAGTCGGCCTGCGTACTCCTTCCTCCACTCTTATAAGTCACTTTATGTTCCTCCCTCTTTTGGAAATAAGTGTTGACTACAGCCATTTCCATTCTTTTGGCAAAATCCACCACCATCTGTCCTTCCTGGTTTCTTTCCTTGACACTAGACCTACCCATCACTTCCTCATCCCCTCTTTTTCCTTCACTAACATGTCAATTCAGGTCTGCTCTGATCACCACTCTCTCATACCTGGGAACACTCTATCCCTTCATCATGCTCCTTCAAGAATTTCTCTTTCTCCTCTACCACACATCTAACCTGTGAAGCATAACCACTGACAATATTCAACATCTACGGTCAGACACATTACCTCTTTTCACCTCTACATTTTTTGCCAACTCCTCCTCCAGGACCACCCCTACTCCATTTATCTTTCTATCCACACCATGGTAAAACAGTTTGAACCCTGCTCCAATGCTGCGAGCCTAGCTGCCCTTCCATTTGGTCTCTTGGACACATAAAACATCTACCTTCCTTCTCTGCATCATGTTAGCCAGCTCTCTACCTTTGCCTGTCATTGTCCACACATTTAGAGTTGCCACCCTCAGTCCTACATTCTTCACTTTCCTCTTCTCCTTCTGTCTCCTGACATGTTTCCCGCCCCGTGGTCTTGGACTAACTGTAGCACAATTTCTGCTGAAACCCTGTTTGTCAACAGCACCGGTGGCGGTTGTTATTAACCTGGGCCTTGATCGACCTGGTATGGTGATGCTTAGATGACCTCTCATATTAGTTTTGACAAAAGTGTTTTACGTTGGACACCCTTCCTGGCTCAATTCTCACGATTTTCCTGGGCTTGGTACCGGCACAACAGATACACTGGTTTGTTCTCCCTACTGGCTGGTTTAGGTTTTGGTAATATAATGAAACAAAAGGAGCTACTGTTAAAAGTAAAGTAATTCAACCTTTATTTATACAGGTTAATCCCAGTGAGCCTCGTGGACTCATTTACAAGAGAGACCTGATTTTAACAAAGAGTGATGACAACAGTAGACAACAAAGACAACAGTAGACAATCATAAAAGGAAGCATACATTAAATTAATGTAGAAAATAAAACATTGGTTAGACAATGGCTGTAAATCATGTAATTTGCTATTTCATAGGAAAATCAGTGACAATATATTAAGATAATCATGAAAAAGGAATCAGAGAATTTTGCCACAGTATGACATTTTTCAGAATTAGGGGGTAGGGGTAGCAAAACAAGTATCAGTAGTAAGTCCAGCTAAGATGATTTGGCACTTTTCTAAAACTTACCAATCTAACCTAGAAATACTTCCAATAACGTTAATGTATATTATGTGGCTATATCACTGATATTAGTGTTTTGATAAATATAAAATCTGTCTCGCAATTTGCAAAACAGGCTAGTTTTTTTTCCCCATTATTTTTTTTATATTTCTAAATATTATACAAAGTTCACTAATCTTTATGATGTGAACATGTACTATCTTAATGCCAATATATTATGATACATTAGGAGGATATAAAACATGTTCTTTAGATACTCTTCATACTGTACACTGCAAAAACTGTGATATTTAGAATTTTGTCAGAAATTATTGAGTGCACCATCCATCCCAAGCCAATTACAGCCACATCACTCCAATTTTTGTACAACAATGCTTAAAATAACCACAAAACATTTATCTTCAAAGTAAAATGGGTTGTAGCTTCAAGTACTCAGTGTGCATTCAACTTAAAATAAGCCACTTTTTGGCCAGTGGCTGCTCAGCTACAATGTCTTTATAAGGGGGTCTGTCCCCAGATGATTTGGTGGTCGAGTCCCTTACCGGTCTGGTGCACTTTTGTTTTGAGAAGTGAGTTTGCAGCAGTTCTTACTTGCAGTTGTTTTGGGAGGGTTTAGTGTTTTTGGTATTTGCATCATTTTTCCTATGCATTTATTGATGCATTATTGTTGTTTGGTTTCTCTTCTGTCTATTTTCTGTGATTGCAGATTTTTTTCTTTTGCAGCATTTTTCTATTGCATTTGTTTATTTGTTGTTGTTGTTGTTTTCATCAACGTGTTTGCTGCACGTTTGCACATGTCGGCCACCGTATATCAGTTCTTGACTGACACATCACAAGATTTTCACTGATGTCACCTCAATCTACCTCCTAAATAACATATAATATTACAATGTGCAGCAAATTTACCTATGTGACACCTTTCAGTGAATAATCCTGTTGACAGATAATATCATTATACTGTACAAACACTGATCAAAACACAGGTGCTAATTGTGGCACACACATTACAGTGAAAACGTAACTGTCTCCAGAAACTTAGTATAATTTAGTTTTTTTAAGTCCAAAAACATGCATATTAGGCTACCTTCATGCCCTGGCCTCCCATGAAAAAAAAGATCTGTGATCTCAATGGGCTATGCCTAATTAAATGCAATGCAATAAATTATAGAATAAAGCTTTAACACAGCATGCTAGCTTGGATATTTTTCAACTCCTCATTAAAATGGTGCTTCTTGTCCATAACATCCTCTCAAGCCACTTGTAACATTTTGGAATCTTTTCTTTTACAGCATATCAGTGGGAGACTTCATTTCATGCTTCAAGCTGGTTGTCACCATCACGGCTTTGTCCTCCAACACTAGGATCACGTTATGACCTTAGTGATGCCCAGCCGAACATCAGGCGTGAAGGCAGCACGCAGTCTCTGCAGCTGGACTCTAGAATGATGGATTACGGCTGTGACAGCAGCCATGAGTGGAGACAGGAGAGCCGGAGGAGCACCTTCCAGTGGGAGAGGAACTGTTCAGGTGTGTGGGAGAGAAAACAAAGTGTACACAATGAAGAAAAGAGGAGGCATGAAAGAGGAGAAAAGAGTGTGGCCTCAAGGAGCAGGGGCATGGGAGACTACCTGGATTTGCATAGCTCCAACAGCTTTGAGAACAGCTCTTCACCTGTTTACGAGGAGTTCAGAGAGTCCAGTCATGATATGGCACAAAGTGAAAACACAGAGAATCTTTATGACACTCTACCACCAACTCGACGAGCCTATGAAGGATACCTGCCCAGCCCGTTGAACCTGAACCTGCACCCAGCTCAACTCGTCCCTCCAATAAGGACCTGGAACCTACAGTCTGGGCAAATGAGGGGATTACAGGAGGGTCAAGGAGAGCTCAGATCTGCTGGTTTGGCAGGTTCTGAGGAAGAGCTAGAAAGATTATTGAACCTGGTGTCGCTCAGAGCAAGGAGAGCCACACGACTGAACAGAACATCAACTGGATCTGAACCAGCAGCAGGCTGGGATGGGTTTAAATGAGTACAGAAATTTATTTAAAGACACATAGGTTTGATATTTAATTTAAATTTTCTAAAAAGACATTCTGACTTTTAAAGTGCACTACAAAAATTATCTGAACAAACAGCCCCCAAAAAGATGTGCTACTTAAAGTCTGCGTTATTATCTTGGCATAAACAAGCACTAATCCACCACCAATACCTTGGATCTTCAATACGCTGGAGAAAGACGAGGAAATATTTGTGTTTTCTAGATGCCTTCATCTGTGCTGCATCAAAATTGGCGGTGAAAGGCTGTGAATCAAAGCTTTTACATTTATTATTTAAAGTCACTGATGCAATGTATTCAAAGCCTGCCTGCTTCTCTTTTTGTGGATGGTTCCAGTGTACCCTCACGTTATCGAGTAGTTGATACACTGTTCCACTCGATTGCACGCACACGCACACTCAGAGTCACAATCATTTTGTAGCCTAACAATGTTTTTGCTTAGTGCTTTTATTATTTCACTGACACATGCTCCAGGTTGTTTTGAACAGATCTTTTTACCCATATCCTAGAAACAGCCCTGGAGAAGCAATTAAGATTACCAACGCTAATACCAGGGGATCCTTACCTAATTATTCAATTATTCTAAGATTTTAATGATTTATTTATTTATTTGATAACTTTTCAATTGTGTGAGCCACTTTGCTAACTCATATCATTTTTTAACTCCACAAATGTCAATGTGTTTCTTATCTTAGCATGCTTTTCTCATTTTATTCGTCTTAGAATGCAGTTGTAGAATTGGGAGTGGTGGCGCAGAGGAGCACGTGTCTCCACCCTCATTTGCCCCACTCTAGGACCTTCAGAAAGTTCTTTAACCCCCCACATCTACTCCCCTGAGCACTTTGGCGACCCTTGAAAAAGGGAGCAGGCAAAAGAATAAAAAAGAACAGTCATAGAATTGAAAATACAGTCATTTATTTATAGCAACTCCTATTTTTTTTTAGGTTGCAAAAATCCTTAACACTGTAGTCTTGGATGGAAGGAGGCAACTGTACAGCAGGTGTTAACCTGAGAAATAGATTCTACAAAATGGTGATGAAAGGCTATGATAATCGTTTAGAAATGGGACCATGAATTGCAGAATCACTCACCCAGGTTCAACACAGGGTTGGCACACTGAAGGCATGGTGTACATTCTGCTCTGCTCCCAGTTCAGTCACATCACAGAGAAATGTTAACAACATTGAAACTGTGATTCAAGGTGCATCCAGATAAATATTCAGAGCAGAAGTCCAGGGCAATTAAGGATTGGGGAACAAGTCAGACAAAAAATAAAAAAATCTGCAGTTAGAATTGTATTTAGCTATCAAAAATGTGCACAAACCTTCTTGCAGCTAAATCACATGCAGAACACCTGGTGAACACGGCTGAGATAAACACTTTCCTTTGGAAACTGGATAACATTTACATCTTATTCAAGGGTGTATAAAACAAACAATGTGCAAAATGAAGTGTTTGGGTCTGCTAAAAGAAAGAGAGCAGAGTGTAAATGCAAATCATCCCCAACTGACAGCTTGTAATGAAATTCAAGGGCACAGTATTTTGCTAAATTGATTTGCTGCTGAAAGGACTCTGGGAAATAAATCCCAACAGATACTCTCCCAAAGGACTCTTCGGAAAGCGCTCTAACACCTGGCGCTAATGGCCGCATGTCAGATGACACATCTTAACATGCTCATTATCAGTCTCGGTGTCAGCAAATGCATCCATGTCACTCAGTACGATGCCCATCTATCCATCCTCATCACTCATTCTGTGAGTGTGTTCCGGAAGCGTGTCTGAGCTGGCATGAGACATTGGCGGAAACATCCCATACAGGTCAGACTAACACATGGACAAACAGATTTACACCTGTGGGCACTTTGCAGTTTCTACTTTGCATGGAAGTGCATGTCTACAGACCATGGAGGGCTCCCTGCAGCAGTCCCATTGGAATTCTTGCAGACATAAAAAGCGTAGAACCGCAGCTCCAAAAAAGCTGAAATATTATACCTGAACAGATGAAACACACTTTGTTCTCATTCTTCAGTACTTTGCTCTTCTATGTCGTTAATTCATCTTGTCAACATTCTTTTGAGCCTAATGTGTTTAATAATCCGGGTTGCCAATGAAATACACAAATGTCTACTATCTTTACACTAAAAGGATTTAAATGTCCTAAGCAAGCAATTATTTTACTCATTTGAAATAAATATGGTGTTTGTTCTAAGGGTGAATATGTGTCCAGTGTTCTCTAGCTGCTACAGGTGTATCGAAAAAATTAGAATACAGTAGTCCCTCGTTAATGGTGGGGGATCCATACCCTGAAGCCCCGCGAACTAGGAATTGTAGTACAAGTAGTAGTTTATTTTAGTATATATATATATATATATATATACTTTGTTTGTATATACATACATACACACACACACACACAGTAGTCCCTCACTACTTCCCTGTTTATTTATCGCGGACTCACTCTATCACGGTTTTTCAAAATAAGATTGGGCATGACACAATTGGTTGATTGATGGATGAGCCGCACAATCAGCATGGGATTTTTATTGAAAATATATTATTTTAAATGATTTAGCACCTGCTGCACATTTGTGCAGCCCAGAGCTGCAGGATAAACTTCCTGCTGCATCTGATAAGCTGTTCACCATGCAGAGCGACGTGGGCATGGCCAAGAGCGTTGCAAGTGGAAAAGAGCAGAGGAGGCAGGGAGCTGAAATCATGACAGTCTGTGCTCTTTTAGAGCATTTAGAGTTTAGAAACAGTTTAGAATATTGCATGAGTGTGGGAAGGGTTTCAAACGCCTATATATATATATACTGTATATATATATATATATATATATATATATATATATATATACAAACAACTTCTTGTACTAATATTTCTACTTTGCGGTTTTTCACTTATCGCAGGTCTTCAGGGTATGGATCCCCCCCACAATAAACGAGGGACCACTTTATAGGATTTTAAACCCTTTCCACATTCTTGCTATATTCTAAACAATGTTTCTAATCTAAAAGAGCACAGAATGTCATGAAATCAGCTCTCTGCTTCTGGCTGCTCTTTGCCATCTGCCATCACTCTTGGCCACGCCCACTACTCTGCTACAGAGTGGAGATATGACACACTGCAGGAGGGAGCTTCTCCTGCAGCTCTGGGCTGCACAAAGGTGCAGGAGGTGGTAAGTAATTTAACATAATTTATTTTAAATTAAAATGCCATTTTGATCGTGCGGCTCATCCATCAATCAGCCAATTGTGTGTCAAGTCCAATCTTAATTTGAAAAATCGCTATAGAGCAAGTCTGCGATAAACGAACCGCGAAGTAGCGATGGACTACTGTATTATGAGAAAATTCATATTTTCTTGTTACTTGTTTCAGAAAATGAAACTCATTATACAGACTGATTACAAATAAAGTGAAATATTTCAAACCTTTATTTCTTGTGGTTTTGATGATAATAGCTTACAAATAATAATAATAATAATAATGTAAAAAAAAGATTCACTGTCCCAGAAAATTTGAAAATTGTGAAGAGGTTCAATATTTGAAACTCATAGTGTCATACTCTAATGTTGCATTCCTCATGTCCAGCTACTCCTGAACCAGAGACAACATCAGAAGTGTCTTACCTGCTGAGGAAAAAAAAAACTGGACTGTTGGTCAGTGGTCCATTGTGCTCTTTTCAGATCAAAGTAAATTTTCATTTCATTTGGAAAGCAATGTCCCAGAGTCTGGAGGAAGGGTGGAGAGGCCCAGAATCCACGGTGTTTGAAGTCCAGAGTGAAGTTTCCATAGTCAGTGATGGTTTGGTGCCGTGTCCTCTGCTGGTGTTGGTCCACTGTGTTTTCTGAAGTCCAGTCAACACAGCATCTACCAGGACATTTTAGAGAACTTCATGCTTGCTTCAGCTGATGAGCTTTATGCCCACACTGCCAAAGGTACTAAAAGTTGACTGTAATGTTCAAATTTTCTGACACAGAATTTTTTTTTTTTTTTTATATATTTATAAGCAATAATAATCAGAATTACAAGAAAAACGTCTTCAAATACTTCAGTATGTATAAAAGAAATTACTTTCTGAAATGATTGACAAAACAATATTGAACATTTTTCACAATATTCTGTTTTTAAATGTACCCATACAGAAGACTGTCAGATTAAAACAACAACAAAAAATCCCATAAAATATTTAATCCTGTTAAGTTGGTCTTGTTACACCTCTTATGTTTATCTTTCCCTCAACACAAGAATCTGACAGATTTGTTTTAGCAAAGCTTTGAGCTCACTAAAATCATGGAAAGGCACAGCGGCATCGGTGTGGTCTGAATTTTATGTTCTTTTTTCATTATATGACTGGTCAAGAAATACGTTTTATTTTGAGAACATCTGAAAATATTTTTATAAGCTCATTATGGTCCTAGAGTAAATTTATTTGCTTGTGTTAACAGCTGTGCGGAGTTCATCATAATCATTTATGGCTGTTTTTTGTTTGTTTACCACTGGAATTGATTTCTGTGCGGATTTGAATAAATATATCTCTCTTCCTGTGGTATTCTTGTTGTTTCCATATCGATCCAGTGCTACATGCTAAAATAGTAAATGATTTTTGTCTTGCAAAACCACTCATTCAACCCAAAAAATTTCAATCTGGTCCTCTTGACATTCAAAAAAAACAACAAAAAAAAAAGCAAAAAAAATGTAGAAACATTTCGTCTCATCTGAAAGACTTCCTCAGTCTGAGGTGCTGTATTCAACTCAGTCTCTTAAATAGCACCTTCTCAGAGTGGATCAACCAGTTTGCTGCTGACAACCAAAACCAGCTGCTCACATGGTCAAGAAGGACCATCAGCCTAACAATGGATCATTAGCACACTGATGGCTGTTTACTGTTCACAGGGGGTTGAGTGATACTAGCAATCACAGCATTGTAAGAGGGGGACAGTTGAACCCGGAGGCCTCCACTCCTGTTTAAT